ATATATATATATAATTATCTATTTATTATTATTCTTATTATTATACTTATACTGATTATGATACTTATGATGATGATGGTGGTGGTGGTGGTGGTGGTAATGGTCGTGGTGATGGTGGTGATGGTGGTGGATATGGATAAGTGCAGCAAGTGCTGCTGCTGCTGCTGTTGTTGCTGCTGTTGTTGCTGCTGTTGTTGCTGCTGTTGTTGCTGATGATGATGATGATATCCTCTCTAATTAAAATAGATGATATTATTGTTGTTGCTGCTGCTTATATAGTCTTGCTTCCTCTCCTCTAGCTGCTGCTGTTGTTGCTGCTGCTTCTGCTTTTGCTGCTGCAGGAGTTGCTGCTGCTGCTGCTGCTGCTGCTGCTGCTGCTGCCAAGAAGAAAATTGGATATTTATGTTTAGGGTAATGACAAATTAAACCCTAAAAGCAAAGAATTTGCTGCAGCGCATGCAACAAGAGCAGCAGCAGCAGGAGCAGGAGCAACAGAAGGGCTCACAGCAAGACTGCATGGATACATGCATGCATGCATGCAAGGCAGCAACTAGCAGTGTATATAGTGCTGCAGATAAAATAAATTTATTTATTTTTTATTTATTTTTTATTTATAAACAAAAGCAAATAATATAATAGCAAATAGTTGACGGCAGCTGCATGCAGCAGCAGCAGCTGCTGCTGCTGCTGCTGTTGCAAATTTGGGGCTTTGTTGCTGCTGCATGCACACATGTACATGCACTGCTATCTCTATCTCTATATATCTATTGCTAATTAATAAAAAATAAATAATAAAGGAGACAATAAATATTAATAAAAAAAGAGACAGTATCTATCTTCCTTAATAATATTATTATTTATATTACTTATCCTGTCTCCTGTCTCCTTTTTTTCCCTCTTTTTATTAATAAATAAATAAATAAATAAATAAATAAATAAATAAATAAATAAATAAATAATAATTAATAAAGAAGTGTCTCCGTTACTTAATTTAATAAATAAAAGGAGACATTACTAATGCTGCAGATCTATCTATCTACATATATAGCTAGCTACATACTAGTAGGCTGGCTAGCTAGTTAGTTAGCTACCTAGCTAACTAACTAACTAAGTAGCTAGCTGGCTAGCTAGTGAGTTTGCCTGCTCCCTGACTAGCCAGCTAGCTAGGTAGCTAGGTAGCTAGCTAACAAGTTAGCTAGATGGCTAGTTAGCTAGCTATCTAGCTAGTTAGCTAGCTAGGCAGGTAGCTAGCTGGCGGGCTTACAGCCTTCTTGCCTACTGGATGGCTAGCTAGCTACTTGTCTGGCTAGCTAGCCATTTGTTTGGCTAGCTAGCTACTTAATTGGCTAGCTAGATTAGGCATTGTCTTGCCTCCCTTTTTGGGGCTTATTTCTCCTTTGCATGCGCGCATGCATATTAATTGTTTTTATTAATAAATATGTTATAAGACAAAGGAGACAATTGTCTCTTTTTTTTCTCTATTAAGACATAATCTGTCTCCTCTGTCTCCTTGCCTCCTTTGTCTCCTTATTGTCCCTTTCCCCTGTCTTTCTTGTCTCCTTGTCCTGTGTGACGCTGCAGCAGCAGCAACAGCAGCAGCAACAGCAGCAGCAACAGCAGCAGCAAGAGCACTTTCTGCTGCAGCAACAGCAGCAGAAAATTCCTCTTAGACTAGCTAGCTACGCTGCTACCCGCGCAGCTAGCTGATAGGGAGAGGGAGCTAGCTAGTTGGCATTGGCTACTAGCTAGCCAACATAGGGTAGGTAGGTAGCTAGCTAGCTAGGCAAGTAGCTAGCTAGCTATGCAGCAGGAGGGTTTACGGTGTCGTCAGCAACTTGCTCTTCGGTGGCTAGCTAGCTAGCTAGATAGCTAGCTAGCTACCTAGCTAGCCACCTAACCAGCTAGCTAGCTAGATAGATAGCAGGAAGAGGACAGGAGATGGGGACGATACTAGTAATGAGGCATTTCTGTCTGCTTACAACTTCATAGAAACCTCCAAACCCTAAACCCTAAACCCTAAACCCTAAACCCTAAACCCCGCCTTAAAGGGAGATGACAGGACGTCTCCTTTCTGATTATGCTGTCTCCTTTTATCTGCCTCCAACAGAAGGAGACAAGAGACAGGAGACAGGAGACAGATACAAGAGGAAAGAGAGACAGTTTGTAGCACCTAAGAGGAGAGGAGACACACTATTGAGGTGTATACAGACACCTCACGGTCTAAACCCTAAACCCTAAACCCTAAACCCCAAACCCTAAACCCTCGTAAATTGGTCTTTAATCATTGGAGTATGTAAGAAATGAATTAAATAAATTAATTAAATAAAAGGAGAGGCAAAGACAAATAAAGGAGCGAAAGATTAAGTAGCAGAGGGCAGCAGCAGCAGCAGCAGCGGTGGCACACCGAGCTGCTGCGGTGTATGCATGCATGTGTATATGCATGCACGCTGCCTGTCTATGGTATTTTTATGTTTATTAAGGGAAAATAAACAATAAATTAATATTATTAATAATTAATTTATAATAAAACAATAAATAAACCCTAAAGTAGCAACAAGGTAGCAGCAGAACACGAGCAGCAAGAGCAGAGCTGGAGCAGCAGCAGGAGCAGCAGCAGCAGCACGCGCACCAGTGGCATGGCAGCAAAGAACAGCCCATTAATGCATCAAATAAATAAATAAAAATTAATTAATTAATTAAATTAATTAATTAATAAATTATAATTAATTAAATAATAATAATAATTAAATAAACAAGGAAAAAGCAGCATAAATAGCGGTACTGGACAGCGTGTGGCAGCCGTAGCACGAGCAGCAGCAGCAGCAACAACAGCAACTGCAGCAATTGCTGCTGCTGCTGCTGCTGCTGCATGCTAGTCAAGACGCGGGGCTGTGTGTGTGTATTTTAAATCATTGTAAGATTGTTATTATTTCAATATAAAAGGTCTTCCTTGCTGCTGCTGCTGCTGCTGCTGCTAGCTGCCTATACACCCCAACATACCAGCAACAACAGTAGCAGCAACAGCAACAGCAGCAGCCGACGCACGACTTGAGCCTCAACAGCACATCCCCTCTTTCGTCTCTTATTATTTGTGGCGTTTATTTCTTTTTTTTATTTATTTTATTAATAATTAATTATTTATTTATTGAGGTGTATATACACCTCAATAAATACCCCTATTTACGTCTTTTCTTTGCGTCTCCTGTCTTCATAGACAATTATTATTATACTATACTGCGCTAGCCGCATAGGAGTCTCCCTCCTTACGGCCTCCCCTCTCGCCTCTTCTGCTGCTGCTGCTGCAGCAGCTGCAGCAGATGTTGTTGTTGCTGCTGCGCAGTGAATATTTCTGTCTTTGTGTAACACCAGCAGCAGCAACCACAACAACCGGCAGCAGCGACAACGAGCAGCAGCAGCAGCAGCAGCACGAGCAGCAGCTGCTGCTGCTACCGTTGTAGTATCCCCCCTTTATGTCGTAGATGTGTAAGGAAGTGTGTGATTAATATAAGCAGCAGCAGCAGCAGCAACAGCAGCAGCAGCAGCAGCAACAGCAGCAGCAGATGGGTCCTAATCCGGACCGTATTACGTCTGGGCGTCTGTACACCCCGTTGCGTCCTGTGAGCCCAGCAGAGGACGACGACATAGATCTACTCTCTCGTGATTTTGCTGCTGCTGCTGCTGCTGATCCTGGTAGTCTACCTTCTGCAGATGCAGCAGCAGCAGCAGCAGCAGAAGCAGCAGCAGCTGCTGCAGGTGGTTATACCCCTCTTAGTTCAAGAAGTCTAGGTTCTTCACGTTTACCATTAACCCCACATCAGCAGCAGCAGCAGCAACAGCAGCAGCAACAACAGCAACAGCAACAGCAGCAAGAGGAGCAGCAGCAGGATACATTTCGTGGTATAAGCAGCAGCAGCAGCAGCAGCAACAAAGGGGTGTCTCCTTTTGAGATAGGGACACCTATAGGTCGTGTCTCTGGTAATACAACAGAGAGAGCTGTAGAGACAGTAGAGGGAGGAGTAAGATTTGTTATGGCCCCGTCTGCTGCTGCTGCTTCTTCTGCTGCTGCTGCAGCAGCAGGAGCAGCAGGAGGAGGAGGTGGTGGTCGTGGTGTATCAGCAGCATCATCAACAGATGGAGGTGTCTCCTCTTTCCGTGTAGGGAGAGACTATGATGAGGAGACACCTAACCCTATATTAAAGAGCAGCAGCAGCAGCAGCAGCAGCAGATCAGCTGCAACAACAGCAGCAACAGCAGCAGGACCACGAGGAGGAGGAGGAGGAGGTGGAGGAGGAGGAGAGGGACAATTAGGGACAGATTTTATGAAGAATGTACCCCAAGCAGCAGGTATACCCCAGCATGCAACAAAAGGTGGTTATAGGTGGGGTTGTTTTATAGTATTATTATCTTTATTATTATTTGCATGCGCTTGGGGCTGGCATAAGCTACAGGGGTGTATATACACCCAAGAGGTGACCCTACAAGAAGGAGGAGACCTAACAATAGATATAAAGAATTGTAGTCTTAAGTTTCTCCCCTTAGGGGGAGAAGGAGACACCAATAATAATAATACAAGCAGCAGCAGCAGCAGCAGCAGCAGCAGTAGCAGCAGCAATAAAGGGAGTAGCTTCTTGAGGGTGCGTGCATGGCTGCAGCAGAGGTCTCCTGCACAGAGACACTTACCAGTAATAAGAAAAGGGACAAAAGGAGACACTTATGTTTTATTACATTTATTAGAATTAAATGATTGGTATACATGCAGTGTTGAGGTGTACATACACCCCAATTATAGATTTGGTAGTTTAGGTGTATACGGAGCTCCTGCAGATAGATATTTACCTATATCCTCCTCTATAGATATAAAAGGAGACAGTGTCTCCTTTAATTGTTATCATGCATATATAAGACTACAATCTATAGAGGCAGCAGCAATAAAATTTATACTTAATGCAGGTTTGCTGCTGCTGCGTCTTGATGGTCGTGCTGCTGCATACGGATCGTCT